GAATCTGCACTTACTCTATCTGCGCTTCCTGACAACGATCAACAAAGCGTGCCAGAAGCGTAATCACCGCAAAGTGAAATGCGTGAGGATGAACCTTGTGGTGGATGGGCATATATTCAAATCAAAGGGAGACACCTCGAAACGAGGTCGCTGATTTAAGGACGATCATGCAGTAGAACCGTGATGGCCAGAAGGTTGCCAGTGTTAGGGTCTAAAAACCAAAAGGCAGAACGCACAAAGCGCGGAAAGATATCATCTCAGGAGCATCTCCAGACAAGTGTAGCAACTCACTAAGTACAGACACGGGTACCGGTACCTGTCTCGAGAGCCTCTTGCCTACTCCTCTTGTTGAAAGTGACGGGGTTTCTTTTTTTCCAAGGGATGATATAACTAGGTCACTCAGTCTACCGTTGTCCCCTTTTTCTCGCAACAACACCGAGTGCCCTACAAAGCACATATCTGAATGCGAAGACAGGCAGTCGTGGGTAGGGGGGATGCGGAAACGCCATAACCGGAGTCTGAAGTCAAAACCAACCATGGTGGGCTGCTCGACAGTCAGTCGACAGCAAAACTGTCCAAGCGAGGAGTCCTTAAGTCGTCCTCGTCCTCATACATAGAATTCACCAGAGAGACAAAGTTAGGAGTATCGGGATCGCTAACAGTGTCTTGTTGTTCAGGTCTGATAATTTTATTAAATGCCAGTTTACAGGCATTGTCAAGGGAAGCGATTAAACACAAATCCGACCAGCAGTGAAAAAAAAATCCTGAAAAATAAAAATATAGTTGATGATGGTTTTTATGGTTTGAAGGGTTCAGGAGAAAAAAACTGCTGGTGACAGACATTCGACCGTCAAGAAGGGGGGGGGGGGAGGAGGTTGCACGGTATCGGAGATCATCGGACGTCAATTCCTTTCATGAAGTTGCGGATAGTCAAAGTAGAGGCGTTGAGGAACAGCTGGTGAGACCGGCCAAAGTTTTCAGAGACCACAAACGCCATCGCTACGGTACAGTCGTTCGGTGGATTCAGCACCCAAAATTTGTGGGAGCTTTCCTGAATGCAAAAATCGAGTGATAGGTCTCTTAAATAAAGGATAATTTTGCATATTTGTTACATTCCTGAATAGTTTATTCCAAATAGCAAAAGCATTTACAGAAAAGAACCGACGATATTTAACAGTACGTGCCAGAGTAAGAAATAAAAAGACCTCACGGTAACTGTTACGTCGGAGGTGGACAAGATGTCTTAAAGTAGTGAGTGGGCTAAAGGTACAATTGTATAAAAGCTTAAATAGCAAAAAATAGTCCCTTTTGTAATTTACGAAACCATAAAGGATCAAGGCCTGTAAGCCGAAAACGTTCTTGGTACGACAAATGTCGGTGTTTTGGGGGTTAAAACTCTCTTGGTAAAAAGTGTTGAACGGATTCTATTTTTTGTCCGCTCAACAGCACGTATGAGGCTAAATAAAAACGAGCAGTATTCCAGGCCAGGTCGAACATACATTTTATAAAGTCGCATTCTAATATCGTTAGTTTTAAAGTTTTGGAGGATAAAACAGGTCGTTCTACGTGCTTTGGAGACTATCAAGGCCCAGTGCTCTGAAAGACTGAGGCTTTTGGATTAGAATACACCCAGATCTTTAATAACCGGAAATTTAAATTGACTAATCAAGGATATATAAATAGTAAACTTGTTTTGCCCACGAGGAACGCGGATAAATGCTCATTTTGAAAGCGACAGTACTCTCAGTAGATTCCACGGGACAGCTTTTTAGTTCTGAGGTAAATTATTGTCTTCATATCAGGCTTTATGTTATGATTAAAGCTTTGGGCTCCCGAAACGGGTGTGCGGATGTCTTATACGTAGTGGGGGTCGAATAGATATGTGGTGCACTTTAGGGGGGAGTTATCTGCCGCGTCACATCCCGTATGCAGTCTTCGTTGCTCGGGCTTTTCACTAGTACAAAGTAAAGGAGGTCAGTATCCGGAACCCTTGCATCACGCTGCTTCAGCGCTTTTGTTTCCCAATGCACTAAAACTGACGAGCTTTTAATCTGTCACGACGAACTGACAGTTTTGTCTTCAGAGTCTGCCAGTTAACGATGCCATCCACTTCCGCTTCCAGGCGGAAAGTCAACTTGCAATGACACATTAATGACGCAGCCCTAGTGAAATCTCCAACGAGTGCGTAGACGCGAGTTTCGCAATGTCCATACCGTTCTCCCGACCTCTTTAAGTTGCCATGCATCGGAACCCGGTGGAAAGATAGAAATAGCTACATGACATGCAAGTCTCCCACAGCGGCTCTTTTAATCAATTACAATGAACAAATTACTAGCTATGACTTACAGAGAGCGCCGAAACTCGTGGGTCTGACCGAGATTTTGTGGTGTTTTTACTTGGCAACGACTGCATAGGTGAAGTCAGAAAGTGGCGAGGTTTGGTTCTGCAGCCCCACTTGATTGATACCATATGGTTAGCTAACTGAAAAAATATTAGTTACCATACCCAACTTAGCCACTCGCTCGACTAGGAAGGGGAAGAGAGCACAAGCAGGGCTCTAAGCATGCGTAGGGATGCGTGTGTGAACCGATGCCTGATGTAAATGGGGATGGCGTATAAGCACTCGTCTCCCCGCGACACAGCCACTCGCTGGATTAGTAAGATAGGGAGGATGCAATCACATCTGCAAGACCACGGAGGGGACCGCTTGGTGATTCGCAGTGCATGGCCACTGAAGTAGAACCAACGGGATTCCAATCCGTCCGAAAAAAATCCATTGGCAATCCTACTTATCCACTTGCTGGATTAGGATAATAAAGAGGGCTCAAGCAGGGCTCGAAGCACGCGCAGGGCAGCGCGTGTGAACTGATGCCTGATATAGACTGGGATGGCATATAAGCACTCCCCTCCTCCGTGGCACAGTTACTCGCTGGATTAAAATGGCATAGAAGGTGCAAACATGTGATATTTGTAAGTTCAGCGTACCCTGATTTACTTTAATTGTTTAAGTGAGCTAACCGTATGGTGTCAATCAAGTGGACCTATAGAACCAAACATCGTCCAGAAAATAATCAGCAGGAGGACAATCCCAAGCAGATTTCTGTGTGATAACATGCTGGCTTATGGCCAAACACACTCGCGGCCAAATGAGTAAATTACACTTAAAAATGACTATATCTACGTAGTCCAAAATTTTTCCGGTAGTTTTCGTTGTCTGCATAAAGCCAATTATTTTTAGAGGAAGTGCAAATAACTTGTTTCTTATGCTCGCTTGACAGAAACGTATGTCTTCCATAAAAAGATTGCCAGACTAGATGACCTGTTTATTAAGCGGCTT